CGGGATGGGATGGTCTCGATCTCCTGACCTCGTGATCCACCCGCCTCGGCCTCCCAAAGTGCTGGGATTACAGGCTTGAGCCACCGCGCCCGGCCCCTGCTAATTTTTTTATTTTTTGTAGGGATGAGGTCTCGTCGTGTTGCTCCGGCTGGTCTTAATTTCCTGACCTCAGGTGATCCACACGCCTCGGCCTCCCAAAGCGCTGGGATTGTAGGCGGGAGCCACTGAGCCAGGCCCAGTGCCCTGAATTTTATCTGGCAACCCCACCCCTGAGGAATGGGTAGGCACCTGACTCTATGAGGAGAGGGCCCAGGTACCCTGACACACAGGACCCCCTTCTTAGGGCCTCCAACCCTGCAGGGGCTCTGGCCCCTCCCTGATGATCTTTCTAGAAACCACCGGGTCAGCCCCTCCTGAGCAGGGAAGGGAGCGTGGGTGCTGGGCAGGGGTGCCAGGCCCTGCTGTCCCCAGGACGGTGCCCCCTGATGGCTCCAGCCTCACTTCCGCCCCAGCCCCGCCTGGCCACAGCTGCCCTGAGCTCAGCGGAACCCGTGACGGCGGGCGGGTGGTGGCACCAGCTTATGTTTGGGTGCAAGGCCCGTGGCTTCCGGACAGCCGGGCGCCTGGCACGGGGCCCAGCTGACCCAGCCGATCCTGCCAGCCACTGCTCGGGGGGTGGGGAGAGGGGGCACTTGACTCCCAGCCAGCCGCCTCACGGAGGGAAACTGAGGCACAGAGCAGAGCATGAGGCCCAACTCCAGGGGCCGCCCATGGGGCCAATCCTAATCTCCCTCCACCCCTCCCGGCTCCCCTGTGTCCCCTCCACGGCCAAGCCTAGGATTAGCCCGGTGGACGCTGCAGGCCAGAGGCCACGTCTGAGCAGTGGGGCAGCCCTGCTGTCCCTGAAGCCTGGCCCTGACTGCCGGCCACCGGCGTGTCCTCAAGTGACCCCAGGCCTCTCCGGACCCACCAGGCCCCTTCCCCGCCCCAGCCCCATCCTGAGCCGGCCTAGAGACCTCCAGGTGGGCCCCGCCTCCTGGCAATGCCTGTCTCTCCTGCTCTCACTCCAGGCTCCCCCATATCCCCGTTCAGCCCCAGGGGCTTCCTATGTCCAACAACTGACCCTGACCTGCCCTGACCCCAACTCAGCCCCTTCCAGCCCAACCTGCGTCCCCTCCCCAGCCCCTGCCCCAAGTCCATCCCCAGGCTCCAGACCTCCCTCCCCATCACAGGGCCAGCGCTTCTCACCACTGGCTGCAAGAGTTTCTGTTCCTCCTCCTAATCACAGCCACGGACCCCCAGGGTCCCCGACCGCCCCATCACGCTGTCTGTGCCCTGAGCATGCCACTTGGAGCTGGGTGGAGGGCCGAGTCTGCCTCTCGCCTCGGACCCCAGAGCTGGGTCTGCCTCCCCCATCGGACCCCAGGGCCAAGTCTGCCTCTCCCCTCGGACCCCAGAGCTGGGTCTGCCTCTCCCCTCGGACCCCAGGGCCAAGTCTGCCTCTCCCCTCCGACCCCAGGGCTGGGCCTGCCTCCCCCATCAGACCCCAGGGCCGGGTCTGCCTCCCCCATCGGACCCCAGGGCCGGGTCTGCCTCCCCCATCGGACCCCAGGGCCGGGTCTGCCTCCCCCATCGGACCCCAGGGCCGCGTCTGCCTCCCCCATCGGACCCCAGATCCGGGCCCGCCTCCCCCATCAGACCCCAGGGCCGGACCTGCCTCCCCCTGACCTCAGACCCCAGATCCAGGCCTGCCTCTCTCCTCAGACCCCAGGGCTGGGCCCGCCTCCCCCATCAGACCCCAGATCCGGGCCTGCCTCCCCCATCGGACCCCAGGGCCGGGCCTGCCTCTCTCCTCAGACCCCAGATCCGGGCCTACCTCCCCCATCAGATCCCAGACCCGCCTCCCTCAGACCTTCTCCTGGTACTGGCGCCGTGAGGAGTCCAGCGACTGGATGAGGGCAGTGGCGTGGCCGATGAACATGGCGTAGCAGGTGGCGCCCACGATCATGCTAAGCATGGTCAGCCAGATGTCCGTCATGCTCTCGGGCGCCTGCCGGCCGTACCCAATGCACAGCATGTGGCTCATGGCCTTGAAGAGCGCGAAGGAGTACAGTTCGCTCCACGAGTGGTTCTGCAAGGCCAGCAGGAGGGGTGGTGGTGGGCAGGTGCTCACGCCCTGGGAGCCCCTGGTCCTCAAGGGCCCACCGCCCGCCCTCCCCCAGGCACTGGAGGTGATGAGCTCCCCATGCTCAGAGGTAACCAAGAGAAACGGAGACCCAAGTAGATGACATGGTTTGCACACTTGTCACGGTGAGTCGGCAGTAGGGCCAGGGCTGCCCACTTCACTCCTGGGGAAACTGAGACCCCAAGGGCAAGAGTCTGGACCCCGACTTTTGCAGCCTCTGAGATCAGAACATCTGTGAGGTCAAGAGGGGGCGAAAGTTCCAGGGAGCACCTGGGCCAGAGCAGAGGGGCAGGGCGGGCGGACACACCAGGCCGGCCCAGGAGGTCCTGTCCCACCAAGTCCTCAGTTGACCCGGCCAGGAAAGGGGGGCCCCGCGGGGCTCTGTCCAGGAAATGGGACCACATGCGCGGGCGGCAGCCAGACAATGGACTGCCTCAGCCCGGGCAGCTGTGCCAGGCTCTGGGGAGGGGCACTGGCGGGTTTTCCCTCTGTAGCTCCTGATCCCATCAATGCCCACCTGCTCTGTGTCCAAACCAAACACATCCCAAGCCCTACATGCAGGTGGGAGCTGGGGCCCAGCACTCCCCAGGCGGGGACAAAGGCTCGCTGGGGCGCTAACCTGACTCACGCCCAAGGGCTCCCGTAACTGACCCTTCTTAACAGTCAGCACATCTCAGCCAGGAAGCACGGGGAATCTCGAACTGCCTTCATTTATTATTCCTTTTTTTTTTCTTTTTAGATGGAGTTTCGCTCTTGTAGCCCAGGCGGGAGTGCCGTGGTGCGACCTCGGCTCGCTGCAGCCTCCGCTTCCCAGGTTCAAGCGATTCTCCTGCCTCAGCCTCTCAAGTAGCTGGGATTACAGGCATGCGCCACCACGCCTGGCTAATTTTTGTATTTTTAGTAGAGACGCGGTTTCAGCATGTTGGCCAGGCTGGTCTCAGACTCCTGACCTCGGGTGATCCACCTGCCTCGGCCTCCCAAAGTGCTGGGATTACAGCCGTGAACCACCGTGCCCGGCCCATTTACTGTTTCTTTGGCATGTGATACCACTTCCCCATTTCAGGGCTATGATGTAAATTGTTCTTTAGTTGTCAGAGATCAGGTCTGGCTCTGTGGCCCAGGCTGGAGTGCAGTGGTGCAATCGTGGCCCTCTGCAGCCTAAACTTCTGGGCTCAAGGGATCCAACTCCCTCAGCCTCCTGAGTAGCTGAGACCACAAGTGAACACCACCATACCCAGTTCTTCAATTGTTCTTTGAATTAAATGTATGTAAATTAGGCCAGGCGCAGTGGCTCACCCCTGTAATCCCAGCACTTTGGGAGGCCGAGGCAGGTGGATCACCTGAGGTCAGGGGTTTGAGACCAGCATGGCCAACATGGCGAGACCCTGTCTCTACTAAAAGTACAAAAATTACCCAGGTGCGATGGCGGGCGCCTGTAGTCCCAGCTACTCGGGAGGCTGAGGGGAGAGAATCGCTTGAACCCCGGGAGGCGCAGGTTGCGGTGAGCAGAGATCGCGCCACTGCACTCCAGCCTGGGCGACGGAGTGAAACTCAGTCTCAAAAAGAATAAGCAAATAATAATAATAAATGTAGGTAAATTAAAAAGGGAAATCCACTGGAAAAAGCACTAAGCAGATGTCTGGGTGACAAAACTCATCATAATCACACTCGGCTTCTTTCCATGGACGATCCCAGGCCTGAAAGGCTCCAAGTGGCTGTTTCAGCCCCCAGGGGCACTAACAGGTCAACCCCAGGGCTGCAGTTCTGGGTCCCCCTTTGTAAAGAGGCCTCAGTCCTCCCCTGTATAAGGGGGGTCTTGTCCCCATCTCGGTAGGGGCCTGTGTCTCGCCCTCTGTAGGGGAGCCTGGGTCCCCACCTCGGTAAGGGCCTGGGTCCTCCCCTCCGTAAGGGTGGGGTCTTGTCTCCACTTCTGAAGGGCTTGGGTCCCCCCCTCTGTGTGGGAGCCTGGGTACCCCCTCTGTAAGGCGGATAAGGGGGCCCGGGTCCCCCTCCGTCAGGGCCCGCGGTGCTCACCACCATGCCGTTGATGGACACCCAGCAGTTGCGCGGGAAGTCCTGCAGCATGGGCACCAGGAACTGCAGGCAGCCGTCCCAGTGGCAGAGCAGCAGCATCATGCTGATGAGGTTGCAGATACGCATCACCGCGCTGGCCAGGTCATAGGTCATGTGGAAGATCTGCAGGAAGGCGCCGTGAGCCCCCCACCCGCTGCCCCGCCGGCCCCCACCTCAGAGCCCCAGTCCCGTGCGCCCCCCACTGCAGGAGCTCCTGGCCCCACCCTCAAATCCACGGCTCTGCCTCAGGCCCCCTGCCCCACCCTGCAGACCCCACCCCAACACCCCTGCCCTCCAAACCCATAGAACCCACCCCATGACCCCCACCCAAATCCATGGCC